GAATAATTTTCAAAGAAAGAATTTAAAAAAAAAAAAAAAACCTAATTCCTAGCAGTGTTGAGGACGCTCAAGACACGAAAGGACTTTTTCAGTTTCCTGAGCAGGGGGTGTCTGCCATGCTCCATAACCTCCTCGGGGAGGGCTGACATATATTTGCAGACATCAAATATTTTGTCTTTTTAAATGGGGAGAGCGAGAAGGAGTTTTACTGGGTTGCGAGAAGGAGAATGGGTTGGGGTGAGGAGTTCCGGAGTGGAAGGGGAGCTGAGGGCAGGTGGGGTGGAAACCATCGCAATCGTCCGCCCGGGTGAGGACGGCAGCCGTGGCGATGAGCGGCGATGGCTCAGGTGTCTGGGCAGGTGTCTGGGCGGCGGTGCGGACTTGCTGATGGATGGCGTGTGTGGAGCGAGGAGGAAGGAGAAGCAACGACTGGCGGCTGGGACAGTGTAGGATCCAGAGACAGAGCCTCGCAGACAGCGCCGTCCCCGTGGATCGATGAGAAAAGGTGGGATTTCAGCCAAGGATGCTGGCCCCGCCGGTGGTCCGTGTGGAAATGACCAGAAATCGGGTGTATTCTCGATCCGCATGAGGACTGCAGTGCAAGACGCAAAACTTGAGACCGTTCGGAAGAAGCAGCGAATGGACTCGATGCGGCTGAAGACGGGAAACGGGGCAAAGAAAGGGCACGAATAACCCCTGGATCTGGGGCTTAAGAAACTGGATGGAAAATAAAGAGATTCATAATAATAGTGAACGTTTATATAGCACTGACCGTGAGGAAGCCGGCACCTTTCTAAGCTCTTGCGTGCTTTATCCCATCCGACCCCCACACCGGCTCTGGAAGATGGCGGCTCTTACTGCCCCTGTTTATACAGGGGAAGGACTGAAGCACAGGGAGGTCGGGCAGCTGACTTCAGGTCACACAGCTGCGAAGCGGCACAGTACTGATCAGCTGCAGAGGCTCCGTCCGTGGAAGAGTGAGGAAGCGGCGTGGGGGGCTCAGCCTGCCCAGGACTCCCCCGAAGCACTCTGTGAAGGAGGCAGAATGATTCTCAGAACACTTCAACCGGCCACAAGTCTCCAGGGGCTCCCCTGGCCCCACTCCACCCACCTCCCCAGGAGGGCAATCGGAGGGAGGAGTGGTATGTAAAAAAGTTCCGGAAAGCTGCAAACACTGGCTGTCCCCTCCCTGAGTAGCTGACAACTCCTGGGGCGGTCAGACTTAGCTTCATTCACTGACTTTTGTAACTAAGAAAGTTATTAAACATGCGTTATGTGACACCAGCGTGCATTTGTTTTACTGTAGTGAAATCTATAGAACATAATGGTTACCATTTTAACCATTTGTAGGCGGACAATTCAGTGGCATTAAGCGTAGTCACGTTTTGTGCAGCCAATAAGCTTCATTGGCGCATAACACGCGCCTGAGTGTCACATAGTCTCCGGGTTCTGTCCTGGGCCCTGAAGGACGTGAAACAGATCTTCCCCACGACGCGGCCCACATCCCAGTTGGAGACGCAGAGAACAAACATGGAAGAAATAAATAAATGCGATCACGTCAGATATTGCAGGGAAAAAACAGGACAAGGCGACAGTCGCCATCACTACGAAGCACTTACTACGTTCTGGCAGCAATGTGAAGGCCTGGTGGGGGTGAAGCGAGGCCCAGAGAGCTTGGTACTCCACGATGAACGAGGAGGGGGGAGGGGGGGCCAGGCGGTGATGGTAAAAGCTGCTGAAGCTGGAGCCACCCAAGGCCTCTGAAGAGGGGACATCGAGCTGGAGTCTAAGGTCCAGGAGTGAGCCAGGGCAAGAGCGTTCCAAGCAGAGGGACAGCAAGGAGCCCATGGGACTGGAGCTAAGTAAGCCCTAGAGGGGAGAATGTAGGGCAGTGGGGGAGGGGAAGGGAGGTGGGAAGTGGGAGAAAGGAGTCCCGTGAGAAGCAGCCAAAGAGGTAGGCAGGTCGGAGCCTACCCAGCCTTGTGCAGGGTCACCAACTGTCTTGGTTTTGCCCAGGTCAAGCTTGTCACCCTACCAGGGCAGCAGAAGGAAGACAGTCGAACGGGGCCTGCAGTCTTCCAGACAAGGGTAGTGGCGGCCTTGAGTTGGGTGAGAGTGGCGGAGGTAAGAAGTGACTATTTTTTGAGTTTTGTGTGTATATTCATAAGAGATATTCATGTAGAAGATATTCATTTTTAAATGGATTATGGTGGATGTCAAATTGCCTTGGTCCTTAGATTCCATTGAACACAGCGGTGTAACAGTTCATTACTAAATGTCTGTAATACACCAGAAACTCCATCTCTTACAAGTATTCAAACCCATGATGAAAATTTCAGATGTAACTTTTAAAACGTGAAGAGGCATAGCGTTTGTAAATATTATTACAGAAGCCATGAAAGTGGTATAAAAATCACTGCTGATGTCACATTAGGGAGCCATTGGAAAATGCTGAGCACAAGGGTGAGATGGCCTTTTAGTGTTTTATAGACCACTGTTTGGGACAAGGGAGGAAGCAGACCAGTGACATCATTGCAGTAAATCAGTGAGAAGTGATTAAGTTTTAAATATATGTTGAAGGTAAAGCCAACAGGATTTGCTAACTAATTTGATATACTGTGGGGGCAGGGGAAGGAGCGGAGAGAGAGAGAGAGAGAGAGACGGAGAGACAGAGAGAGAGAAGCGACAATAACTCCAGCTACAGGATTTGGGGTCGATCAACTCAATTATAGACTTCCCTCTGAAATGGGTTTAATAACACCCATGGACTCATTGACTCATGAGCCGTTTGTGGGATTTAAAGGAGATGTCATGCTCACGAAGTATAAAAGGTGGAGCGCCAGACCTCCTAGCAAAATATACGGAACTTAGCTATTGTATTGGATATCCTTCTTTGAAGCTGATCTGTATCACTGATGTTTTAAGAATCTTTGATTAAAAAAAAAAAAAAAGACAAAACTTTGGTGTTTTGTCTTTTGTTTTTATACCAAACTTTCCCATTACAGAGGACAAGAATGAAAGGTCTTTACATCCTCGGCATGATCATATCCCAGTGTCTGGAACATGGAATCCTTCAATATTTGTTGACTATCTTCGCCTTGCTGAATCTCATTGATAGGATGTTTCTACAAATCTATCTTTGATCTCCCTGTTACTTCAGGTTTCGAGTTTCTTAACCTGCCCAAAAGGTTCTATTTTCCTCTCTTCCTCCCTTACCGCCCCCGCCCCCATGATCCATACACGTGGATGTCAACGACAGGTTAATAGTGTGCACCCTTTCAAAGGCGTGTTCAACATCTATTTGTGCACAATTGAAAACCAAAGATGGAAAAGAAGAACCCCAGGGGGCGGTCCTTAGTTTTTCCTCTCTTGTGCCAAGCTCTTGCTGGAAACTTGCACACCACCTCGGGCACACAAAAGCCCTGCAGTTAAGAGAACTGTCTCTTTTGAAGGCAAGTTAGCAAAGCTGCACTTATCACAATGCTTTGCAATGTCCTATTCATAGGCCTGTCTCACTGTTCTCCCCAGGATCCGGCCCAGGACAGTCTGTCACCTAACAGATGTTCACTAGCCATTCTCTAAGCACTGCTGGGTGCCAGAAGGAAATGGGATGAGTAAGACTTGGAGATCGAGAAACAGAACAGCGAGCAAGAAGTCAGAAGGGACTTTCCCCCATCCCCTATGGCATATCAAATTAGTTACTTAAATCCAGGCTATAACGATAATTTCAAGATCTGGGCAAACTCGTTTTTACTTCTCTGAGTTGTAAAATGAGCCTATTAATACCTACCTTGGTTGCTTTCAAACTTTCAAACTTTTGATTTTTACCGGAACCCTCGGTTATTTAAATACAATTGGAACACAGCGAGCGCCCACATACACAACCGAAAGATTATGAAACAATACTTATGCTTACTTCCCGTGACGCCGGTATTTGTTTATTTTACTTTAATTCATTAAAAAAAAAAATAAGTCACGGTTCATTAAATGGATTTCATGACCCTCTCAGGGGTTTTGACCTCTAGTTTAAAAAGTACCTCCTCAGTGTTAAATGGGATAATGTACGTAAAGGGTTTGGTCCAATCTGTGAATGGAAGCTTTGAAAAGTACTGAGGTGAAGGCTGCTTGGAGCTTCCTTAGCCTTCATCTTTGCATGGCTAGTTTCTTCTCGTCCATCTGGGGATTCTCAGCTAAAACATCCCTACCCCGCTTCTTTATCTCACTGCATGGTATTACCATCCTATTACTTCCTTGGCAGAACTATGCTTATCTGAAACTAGTTACTTATTTGCATGTTTATCGCCTGCTGTAACCCTTCCACTCTGAGGATGGGAATCTTGTCCATCTTGCTGATAAAGGCATCCCTGACACAGGGCCTAGCACGTCTCCAAGTGAATAGTTCTCAAATGAATGGCAAGGAAATGAGCAAGAAAGCATTTTAATCAAATATAAATGTAGTTGATCCCTTACAGACTTTTTTTTTAGAGTTCTGGGTATTTGGGGTACTTTATTGGCCTCCTTTATGATTTATGAAAGTTGACGTGAGAAAAAAAAGTAATCTAGGGAGAAATGCTTGAAGGGTTGGGTATCTAGGAAAGGGGAACTGTAAGAAATTTCATTATTTTCGGTTCTAGTTAGTTCCGTGCATATTTCCTCTTGAGTCCTAGAGGGAGGGCCAACTCGTTGTTTTCTGTATCCCTTGTCAGCGATCAGAACACTGCACGGAAGGTAGTGGGCGCTCAATAAGTATTTGAGGAAGGAAAAAAACGAAGCCGAAACTGGAAACAGACGAACGGACAAACGGGCTCGGACAGGCTGCAGTTCCTCCCCGGGACAGGAGGCGGCGCCAACGTTTCGCGAGCCCGGCCGCCGGCAGCTCTTGGCCCCTCCGGCTGACCGTCCAACGCTGGGCCCCCGAGGCCGGTGCAGAAGTTGGCCAATAGAAAATCGTCTTAGTTGTGGGGTCCGGCAGAGATGCCCAATGAGCGTAGCGGGTCTAGGCAAGGGGCGGTGCGACGAGGAGGGGCCGAGAGGAGCGGTTAGAGGTGGGAGTTGGCGTTGCGGGCCGGGCGGGGGCCGCGGAGCTGCGATGTGGACGGGACCGCGGCCGTGACCGGAGCTGCCGCCCGACATGAACTCGCTGGAGCAGGCAGAAGGTACGGCGGGCTTCCTGGGCCGCCGGGGCGCGCCCTGAGCTCATTCCGGAAGCTGGGGGGACAGGAGTCGCGGAGACCCCGCCCCGGGGAGAGAGGACCGCGAAGGATGGACTGACGCGGTCAGGAGCTCGGGAGCGCGGGGGCCCAGCGGCCCAGCCGCCCGGCCCAGCGGCCGAGGGGCGACCGGACCCGGCCGGACGCTGGTTCTGGCGCGCGTGGCCTCTGCGGACGCTGGGGGGCGTTGCATCAGCTCCCCTCAGTCTTCCCAGCTTAAACCATAGATCTCGCCTTCCGGGCCATTTTTTATTCATCAGTAAACATTTGCACTTCTTGCATTGTAGCGTGCTAATTCACTTTATCTTCGTTTTATTGTGATAGCCCCGTGAGTTGTATCCCTAATTCCTTTATTCTGATAACCCTGCGAGTTGTTTTCCTAATCCCTGCGCTGGTTTCTGGCAACTGCCGGGGTAAGAGTGCCTCTTAATCTCCCTTTTAACGTTTAAAAAACGCGTCTAGGGGAATACTAGCCCACCTTGCTCGTTCAGAGGGAACACCTCGGACGCCCCTGTCTGTTACAAGGTGTCGGGCTTTGATAGCGTCAAGATCACCCGTAACCCATCGGGAGGGTGGAAAGGGGACTGTCTGTCTTTTCGCACCCACGCATTAGTGGGTCTGAAGTCCAGTAAGACCAGACAGAAAGCATAACCGTTAATTAAATAGAAGGGCTAGAAATCGGAATCGAGTAATTGCATTCAAGTAGACCTCGAAAACTTTGTGGGGTGAGGGAGGTAATACGTTCTGTTTAGTAGGAAGTTCTTGGTTCCAACAGAATTAAACCTCGACCTGATTTTGATCCTTCTATTTGCAACCCCCAAATTTCTAGCTTTTGGCTCCGGCTTGAGGCTGCTGCTGATTTTCCTCATACCATTTTACGAAGCTTCTAAAAGTGAACCAGCCAGTTTCCTTATATGTGAAATTGGAATTAAAGAAACCTAATGTTTTTGTCAAGTGCTTAAAGCTGTCATAGTAAACGAAGTAACAGTGCAGTGATACATGTAAGTTGGTGTGTTAAGACCTGAAGCAGTTAGAGTATCTAAAATTTCATCTTAATAGACTCAAACTAGTGAGAGTAACTAATTAGAAGATTGAAATCTTTTTGCCTAGATCTCAAGGCTTTCGAGAGGAGACTTACTGAATATATTCATTGTTTGCAACCTGCCACTGGACGTTGGAGAAGTAAGTGCCTGAATGTTTTTTTAAGGGAAAATAAATTGACAGTTGAGACTTTTTTTTAAATTCCTGCCTAGCAATGATTTGCTTTTATGTAAAACTTGATTTAACAAATGCTTGCTTTACTAAACCATAGGATTTCCTTTTGTTTTGACAGTTTTTAAATTTATTTAACATTGTAAACAACGCATTATAAAGAAATTTTTAGGAAAAGGAAGTGGCCATCCTAAAAGTACAGTGTTTGTGGTTGAATTTTTATTTTTCTATTAAACTATGCTTTATAAAACAAATATTACAAATTTAATAAGCAGCATCATACTAAAAATTTCAATAACCTGTATAGCGGTTTTACAATTTACATACAAACTGTTGAAATAGAGTTTTGTTAGGGAAAATCATATTTAACGTACACTTGCAAAGTTTATAAAATTACCCTTAATTGATTTTAACAGCAAAATTGTGCTGCTTTGGAGCCTAACCTGGAAAAAATTCACTTTATTATTGTCTATTCATAAATATCATGAGTACTGCAAAATATGATTTGAAAGAATCGTGATAATACCCAGTGGAAATACATAGGAAATGCAGACAAATACACAAGTGATGACATCAGCAAAAAAAAAAAAAATGCTAACTTATTTTGGGACCAGTCTTAATTTCTTGGATGTTCGATGTTGAAGCTTAATTCCTACCAAGAAAGAAATACAACAGCACACGTCAAGGACTTTATTTCAGAGTGTAACTCGGTTTGTGGGACCCAAAGAGAAGTTGTGAAGTTGGGGGGCCCTTTTCTATGTTACAATTTCTCGTGTAATTTTGCTATTAGATCTATTTACAAAGTGTTAATTCATATACTGTGAGAATTCTGATTGGTCAGAATTCACAAGTAATGAATTTTCTCGTGTTCTCTGGTTTACATAGGAATTACTTGTTTCACTGCTGCTTGAGAATCTTTTCAAATGTATGTGTTGCTGTTTTATCTCATAAAACGTAACATACTGAACATACATTTTCTGGCTCACGGTCTCAGTCTTGCATATTAATAACATGGTTAATGTACATGTAAAAGTAGGTGTGTGAAGTCCCTTTCATTGGGTTTGAATTTGCTTCATTAAAAAACAAACAAACTACTATATTTCTTATTGGAAATATAGAATGATAGGAAATTGAGTTTAATCTGTTCTGAGCTGAGAACATAATTTTGAAATTTTGATTCTGTTATTAAATACCTAAAATGAGATTTTTCCCTGTCATTTGCCTCTTCTAGAATTCTAGATAATTAAGGTTTTGCTATATCTGTATTGCTATTTGAAGCTTGATCTCTGCACTGAAAAAACGTATGTGCCCAGCGAAAGGCAATGACTGTCTCGATCAGAATATTAACTGGGTCTTGATCCCTTTTTACTATTTTTTTTTGAATGCCACTTATTATTAAATGTTACTTACCTGTTTAGGATCTTAAAAATAATTTTATATTAATGAGAAGAAAAAAACGTTTTATAAGATCTAACTATAAGTGATTTCTACCCTGGCCTTCCTTCAAGTCCCTTAAAATCTGATACTGATTGGTGCCTCCATCCACACTTCGGCCTAACACTGGCCTTTATTTAATTGAACAGCAGGCAGTTGTCTGCAAGGCAAAATCCTTTAGTCAGAATTCTTAGTGCATTTATAAAGGAGTCTTTGTTTGGTTTGTTTACATTAGAAAATGAGACTTTTTTTTTTTTTTTAATTTACAGCATCTGCAATATTAGCACAAAGCACATTAAAAGTTAAATAACGTAGAATTTTACATTATAGTTTTACCATCTTGGTTCTTTATAAAGGTCTTTTTTTGGTTTGTTTACATTAGAAAATGAGACTTTTTTTTTTTTTTTTAATTTACAGCATCTGCAATATTAGCACAAAGCACATTAAAAGTTAAATAACGTAGAATTTTACATTATAGTTTTACCATCTTGGTTCTTGTCGTTTTTAATTTCATTAATCTTCTTAAGTTCTGACAAGAAATTGGGAGACAGTATCATCCTCGATTACTAAGGTTCACAGTGTTTTAGAGAATCCCTCAAGGTTACATGGCAAGTCTCCCAATTCCTGGGTCAAGTGCATTTTCCGTTTAATCAAGCGCTGTGTCTTTTGGCCGTCATTTATTAGGAACTGATGATGGTAGTATCAAACATTAAGAGCTTATTTCCTTACTAATTTCGTGTTTATCTCTCATCAGTGCTGCTTATAGTGGTATCTGTCTGTACAGCTACGGGTGCCTGGAACTGGTTGATAGATCCTGAGACACAAAAGGTAGAACTTTTCATTTAAAACCTTAGTAGATTAAATGACATGCTGGCTATAGCAGTGTCTTGTTAAGTGTAAAGTGTTATCCACATGCTACCTATTTCTACTAACACTGATATTAATCATCATATTAAAAATATGCTTAATATTAATTTGCTTAAGAAGACCTTTGGCTGGCCATTTTGGATGACGTTTCTTGACAGGAAAAAAAAAGCCCCAGAAATATTACTTCACTTACATTCTCATTTCTTTCTGAACTTGTGTGCAGCTTACGTATCTCATTTGAACGTATTTTTACATATTTCAGTGTAAACGTTGTCTTTGTTCTGCTTTGTTCATTTCGTGTCCTCGGTGCCAGCTTTTAAAAATTGTGAAACAACATTTTCTCCTGTGAGTTATCTTTGTTGATATCCTCCCTCATCCCATAAAACATTTGAGACCACTTTGCAGGAAGCATATAATAAAGTAGCAAAATATAAATGTAATTAAAAGTCAAGACTGGCAAAATCTGATGAGACTAGGAGGTCAAAACCAGGAAGGAGATCAGGTCACTGACACTCTAGGCCGTGTGGGCCAGCACATGCGCCAAAGTTGAATTCTAGGTTGGTCTCTGAGTTCCCTAACCGATAAAGTCACAGCCAGCTCCGTGGTTTTCATTGTCTAAGTAGAACACGTGTGTAAGTTCTTTGAGCTAGCAGAACTTTTTTTTCCCTCAGCATTTCTCTCTCAAAAAAATACCCAGCCTGAAGTTTAATATAGGAAACACTGAGAGAGCTCCCATCGGGCACTGGCCAAGGGTACCCCTACGGCAAGTGCAATAACAGGTTTCATAATCTTGGTTCTCGAAGCATCCTTTGACGAAAGCCGATAGCATGTTCCTCATATTTCTCCCTCTTTCTACTAACTTGTGTCTTAATTTCAAACTCTGGCTTCTTTATTAGAGAAGCAGTAGTCTCCAATTTATCAGTGACGTCCTGCCCCCTCCCCGCCCCCAAGGCCCCTTTATTTAGGTAACGGTGATGTAGTTTTTACAGATCTTAACCTCACTTCTCCGTTTTGGACTGTAACTAGGTAGACTACTTCCATTAGCTCTATTTATAACTTTTTAGGTTATACAGGAGAAAAACCTAATAGTAAGGCTTTTGTCAGCAGACCGCGCGGCAAGTCAACCAAGGGTTTATTTAGCATGTAGCCTCCCTGACTTTATCCACTGGCAGGGGGGTGTACAAGGGTAGAAAGCAGAGGAGGATGGTGATGGGATTTTATGTTAATAGAGGGGTTTTGTGGCAGGTAGGAAACTCTCCTGTGTGTTCATTTATAAAATCTGATCTTAAGGCTGCGCTTGGCATTCATCTTCAGGGGCAGAGTGAAGGTAGCTGGCGAGAAGATTGAAAAAGGTCTGTCTTGGGAAATGAATCTGACTTCTAATTGGGAAAAATATAAGCTGATTTCAGCTAGTTGAGATCTTAATAAATCACAGAATTAAATGTAATTTGAAGTAGGCCCAAAAGTCTGTAGTTAATATGATTTTCTAAATTAGGTGAGAATATAACGATTAGCCTAAGGGTTGGCTCTTTATATTTTAGTATTTAATAACCTCAAACCTGACAGGAGTTTTAAATAGCAATTGTGTCTGTAGCAGGAGTTGCAAACTCAGAAGCCAGTGGCTAGCTGGAAGAACCCCGGGAGAGCAGGAATATGTCATCCTGGAAAGTACGTGAACGCCTGAGCCAAGGGGGGCACTGTTTGGATGCAGTTGATTGTTGCCACAGAGGAAGGAAGACTGATACTGGCTGATGAATTAAAGTTAAAGCGTAGAACCCTGGATGTGATAACACTGCAGGGCGCATGGAACTTAGCTGGCCCCTGGGAGTTCAGCTGCCCTCACAGGTTGTAAGAAGACATTCCTCTGGAATATTAATCTGTCTTCAGGATCTCATCCTTCTGGGAGCTGCTTCCCTCCTGATGTTTTTAGCCTCTCATTTCTGCATTTGACAGATTATTTAACCGATACCAAGCTAGGCCGTCTGCCAGGTCCTTTCCTACGTTTAGTTCTCTGTCTTGAAACCTGGGGGCATCTCTTGGTACCGACAGTAGAGTACAGAAGCCCTCAGCCTGATTCCGCTGCTCCCACTTACTTGCTAGTTCATTCAGTTTCTTTTTTCAGATTCTCTGAATACTTGTTTTCTCTTTTTCTTCAGTCTACTTTACTGTTTCCCAGTAGTCTGACTCCTCTTGTTCCAATCCTGGGTCTTGGACCCTCCTCCATCTAAATTAAATAGTCTTAGTATTGTGTATTGTCATGTTTTCTGCTATCACCTGATTGTGCCCACATCTGAAATTAGCCTTTTTTTCTCTTGAGCTCTAGTTCTCTATGGATAGCTACTAATTGTTTTTCCCTGCTCGTATGTCATGTGGCCATCTGAATCTCAGCTTCAAAACCAAACTCAAGTTTGTTTCTGCAGAGAGAAATGTTGATGCTGGAGTTGAGTCTTACAAGGATGTGTAGGAGTTAGCCAGGTGGGGAGGAGAGAAGGAGTATGGTAGCACATGTGCAAGTGTGGTATGAAATGGTTTGACCGGGGGTGGGTTGTGCATGGCAGAGCTCGCCCAGCTCTCTTAAGGAAGCTTTTTAACAGGGAAGGTAACTAGGTAACATTTGACTTGCGTTTTCGTTGAGCTCAGCGGCCTCACCTGCACTCAGCAATGTTTATTGAGCACCTGCATTTGCCAAGGGCTGTTTCACATGTTGGGAGTGAGCAGCATGGCGCGAGTCGGTGGCCCTGCTCTGGCGGAACATCTCGTCTTGTGCTTTTAAAATTGCTTCTCACTAGGAAGGTTCAGTAAATATTTTTGGTAGGGTGGTTTTCGATTATAGGAATGAATTTGTAATGGTTCAAGTATTTGGAACGAAAGGAGGGAGTATTGCGATATTGTGTTACTGCATTGAAGATATAAAACCCATATCAATGTATTTATCATGATAGCGTAGCAATGCGGAGAACTAGGGTTTCTGGAAATCTTCACATCCTCATGCATTAGGGGATTAAAATGTTCTATATCTTATATATGATTGGGGCGGTAGGAATCAGGATTCTAACATTTTTATCCTTCAAACTCTCTTCCAGGTGTCCTTCTTCACATCATTATGGAATCATCCGTTTTTCACCATTAGCTGTATCACTCTGATAGGCTTGTTCTTCGCTGGAATACACAAGAGAGTAGTGGCACCGTCAATGTATCCTTTACCGTGAATGGACTCTTAGTCTCTGAACTGAGTTAAAGCACCTTCTCGATGATCTAGGTGCTGTTAAAAGCTGACTCTTGAAATGAGAAATTTTCCTTTGACCACATTGATTCAGAATAGCCGCTCGATGTCGAACTGTATTAGCAGAGTACAATATGTCTTGTGATGATGTAAGTATTTTTTTCATTAGAAGATTATAACTCTGTGAAAGGACTGAAATGTTTTGGCTTAAGTAGAACAGGCATTTTATTAACGATAAATACTCACCATGTAATTAATAGTGGGAATTTTCCTTATAGCATTGATTCTAAGACTATTTTTTTTTTACATTTTAACATCTCCAAAATCGAGACGCATCTAAATCGATGGTGTCTTATAATTAAATTGGTAGAGTTGACAGTTTAACTTTTTTAAATGACAAAATCATGATGTATCTTATAATTGAAGCCATCTTAGAATCAACGAAATACAGTGTTAATTATTGGCCAAAAATGACTCATTGGATGTTGGTTTTGTCAGCTGTTATTTTTCTAATGGTATACTGTGTGTAGGATCTTAAATAGAGTCATAGATTCATTGACAGACTATGGACATAGGAGCCTATTGTGTTTTTAAAAGTTGATCTTGTATTGATGTATTATAAGAGTCTGACAGTTTTGAGCTGTTTATTTATAAAAGTGTTTTTACCTTCAATTAAAAAGCCTTTAAACAACTGATACCTACCAAGTATAGAAAATTAGAATAGAGAGCAAAAAAAGTATTAAGCCAGGAAGACAATTGGATCAGTGGAAGAAAGTAAAGACTAGACATTTTGATTTTTTAAAAATTAGTAGAGGATAAGGATTGTATTTCAAGTCAAAAGGGAAGACACAGGCTATTTACTAATGTTAAGACAATTGGTTCTTCATTTAGGAAAAATGAATTTAGATCTCTGCCTCCCATCAATTAAAACTAATTCCAAGTAAAGTCTTAAATACATTTAAAAAGACATACACATCCCACCATAAAAGCATTAGGAGAAAATACAGAAGAATATATTTATACCAAAATACCTTCTTTGGACACAACAGAAATGCCATAATGGAAGAGGTTGGATACATTTAAATGCACTAGCCTTTGAAAATGTTGTATAGCAGAAGGCAGGATATTAAGCAGTGATTAGAAGAAAGTATGTGATAGGTATCTGTAAAGAATAGTATCCAGAATATTTAAAGACCTATTAAAAATTGGTAAGAAAAAGACAAATAGTACACTTTAAAAACAGAATAAGGTAAGTCATTATCACAGAAGGGGAAAAAATGGCCAATAAACATGTAAGGACTGGACAGCCTCATTTATAATCAGGGAAATGCAAAGTAAAACTTGAGTTTCCATTTGTGTTACCTGTCAGATTGGAAACAGTGAACCGTTTTGATAATTCCAACACCTGGTGAAATGGGTGCGCCCACCCCCTGCTTGTTGAGAATATACTTTGGTACAGCCATTTTGGAGGGCGCTTTTTATCATTCTTCTAAAACGTAAAACATGTACGCCTTTTAGAGTTAACCATTCTGGTTTTCTCCCCATCTACCCTGGGGGGCCCTATCACACATGCACATAGAAGGCAAGCGCGAAGTTGCTGTAACATCCTTTGCAGTAGTGAACAATGGAAACGATTTTTGTATTTCCCAGCAGGGGAGTGGTAAAATAGGCCGTGCTGTAGCCACGTCATAGGAAACCGGAAGCGAATCCATAAATAGGGGCATGACGGAAGGTTGGGTGCAAAAAGTTGCCAAACAATATGCTCAGTTTGGTACCATTAAATTTTTTTTTTAATTATGAAAATGTCCAGACACAAAGAGAAGACTTGTGAACTCCCGTGTACCCATTGACCAGTGTTGTTAATAATAAAGCCATGGCTGTTATTTCCTCTGTACCCCTGGCCACCTGCCTCATCAGACTATTTTGGAACACACCCTAAGTGATACATTTTACCCTCAAATATTTCAGCATGTTAGAAACACCAAATTTTTATTGATATATGTGAATATAATCCATAGAAAACAATCTGGGAGAATTCATGCTAAAACTTTTTTTTTTTCCTAAGAGGGCTAGAATTTCAGGAAGATGGAAAGGATGACTTTAGATTACCTATGTTTGAATTTTTTATAGCGAAATTGCATTAATATCTGATTCATGTATTTAAAATAGAGGTAAAATAGACTCAAACCATGGATAAAGAAATAGTGGTATATTCATACAGTGGAATATTGAATATTTTACACAAGGTACAAACTACTAAAACGTAGTAACATGAATCTCAAATTCATTGAGTGAAATAAGTAGATGCGAAAGAACACACACTGTATTATTCCATTTATTTAAAGATCAGAGACAGGCAAAATTAATCTGTGGTACGGGGTTACGTTCCAGTAGGGAGTGGGGATACTGCTGATCGGAAAGGGGCGTGGAGGAGCTTTCTGGGGCATGGTGATGGTCTCTAGCTTGTCTGGGCAGTGGCTACATGGGTATATACATTTGTCAGAACACATAAAACTATACAAAGATTGAGCATTTTACTGTATATAAATTATACCTCAAACAGTGGGAAATGAGTATCAAAGTTCCACCAAGATATTGAGGAATTACCAAAAATCAAATTACCAAAAAGTTAAGTGAAAGCGAGAATCGAGAGGTAACTAGAATCCTGACAACACTTTTGACCTGAGGATAATAATAAAATGTGTTAATTAAAACCACCCAGAATCTTAACCAACCAAAGATAACCACCATGTTTTATATTTTGTTATATATCCTCATTTACTTTTTATAAAAAATGTGTTACAGATTTTTCAAACCTTTGACACGTTAGGATTTAAGAGCCACTATATGTTAGATATTAAGCATATGTGAGGTCCTGGACTCACCTTTTTACCTGTATTATCTCAATTAAGGTTTTCCGTTTTGTTGCACCTTGTCCCATTTTAATGGCTGTATCAGTTTGATCCCTGTTTCGTTTCCACACTTTGCATCTCAGTTTGATCCCCGTTTTGTTTCCACACTTTGCAGTTGTATGTTACAACTTACATCTTAAGTTGGTGTAGAACTTAACCCCACAAGGACAGGGGCTTCGTTGAGTTCGCTACTGGATCCCTAGCATTTCACACACGGCCTGGCAGACGGGAGGCACTCAGTAAATGCTGAACAGATGCATAACACTTACGTGTACATCTTCACACTGGCCTTTAGTTTTCTTCAGATAAATTCCTAGAAGTGGAATCATTTGGGTTATGTGGCATGTACTTTTTTTGCATAAATAGGACAGTCAGCCCTGTGGCAGCTGTGTATGAGTGTCTGTCGTTCCAGCCATTGGCTTATGTTTTAATTTGAAGAGATTAAAATTAATGTTGGAAAAGGGGAAACGTCTTTGCCAGGTACATAGTTTTATTCATGTTTTATATGCTTCATAAATTAGTGTGAACAGGTTAGGATTTTATTTTATCCAGTGAATGGACTGGCTGATTTTTAGGTAGCCAGTGGACACGGAATTCATCACATAAAGATTGTATTTGTGTGTTTTAAAGTAATAAAGATTTTGGAGGAAAGCTCCACACAAAGAAAACTTTGAAAACAACCATTAATTCTTAATCACGACTAAAGTAGGTGTTCTCATCCCCTCACGTGCCCTTTAAGGGTTATTGATGAACGGTGGTGTTTTTAATAGAACTACGTATTGAAAAATTTTTCTTTTTTATTTTTACAGACAGGAAAACTAATTTTGAAACCTAGGCCTCATGTTCAGTGACAATCTGCACTCATTGTTACGGGACCTAAAACAGCCTTTTTCAAACAAGGGGTACAGCAGAAAGCCATACAGGATCCCTCTTACAGCTGGATACGTGACGGCCTCGCAGCAGCAGCAACTGACGAGAAGTGTGCAATATTTACCCGGAATCTTGAGGGGGACGACTCACGTCATCAGTGCTTTGGTACCTTTGATTATCTGTCTTTCAGTATTAGTGTCACTTTAGTACTTCGGCTCCTGCAAAGATTTTTGCAGATGAAGTATGTACATTACTAAGTTAAACTTAGAAACAGAACCTCATCCAGTTTTTATAATGTATTTTTGCAAACTACTGTAAATAGCAAATCAATGCCAGTGTTAAAGAGGAAACGTCCTGTGGACGGTGATCTCCTGCTCCAGTGCGTCAGGAACCTCTGCTCGTCATCCCCACAGCTCCAGAACCTGCCGTCGTGCGTGGCTGTGCCTTTCACTCTCACAGTCCTCTCAATCACAATGCAGGAAAAACATCAGATCGAGCTTAGACTGAGATAACTCATCTCCATTATGTTGTCAGAAATTATAGCTGTTTTGAGAAACAATTTTTGTTAAACCAGATAGTGAACTTCAGCCACTATCGTGATATTTTCCTGTTCATTGTTTTCATTTCATGCTAAATTTGCTTTATATTTTTTTAATAATTTTAAGAACACTCCAAAGGCTTCTGAATATACAAGTTTAGTTGTAAATTATGTATTGTCTGGGAATTTGATAGTCGTTTTAGATAATTGGATTTTATGCCGTGGCAGACGTGCTGGTACACCAGTATCGCACAGGCGTGACTGACCATCCACCCATCACCAAGAGAACTTGGGAGCAGTGCCACAAACTAGTCTACAATTCTCACTGTTTAGAGAGTGTTATTGACATACTGTGTATGCATATTAGCCACATGTACTATAATAGCCCTTAAAATTAAACTATTGGGATTATTGTAAATATTTTAAAGAACTGGAGGTGCCTTTTACCTGTTTATTAGAAGATTTTGAAAAGATTTAAATTATTCCATGAGCGATCTTTAAATTTCATTTAATGTAAAGCTGAAGATTCAATGACAGGACAAAAACTTTTTAACAAGGCTACCATTTAACTTAAATGTCTTCATCTTGGCTCTCACGTGTATAAAATTTTATTCTTTGAACTGTAGCAATAAAACCCTCTGCTCCTAAGAAGTCTTAAGGGGACATTCTATATATTCTGCATCATTTTATTTTCTGTAAATTTTGTAGGTAAATATGTGCATAAAAATAAATACTTTATATATAATTAGTGATTGGGCTTTTTCCTTGGTTTAAGTCTCTAACTCTGAAAAAATTTTAACACATTTCATGTGTTTCAGATAATGAGCTAGTTCCGAACGAGATATTTTAACTTCGTGTCCAGTAAAGCACATTTCAAGTAGCTTTAGCCCAGTTTATTAGGCTACGATTACTTTTAATATGTCTTATTCATCATTGTCTAATGACATTTTGCTCTTAAGAAATGCAGGTTTTCTCAAAGCATGCTTTACCAACTTGCATTGCCAGTTTCCTCCGAGAGTATAAAGCTGACAACGAATTTTATAGGTCCCTAGACCTTTTTGGAGTTATCGGCTCCTTTGAGTATTGAATGGAAGCCGTACATCATCTCCCCTAGAAAAATAACGCCTGTGTACTTACAGCTACTCTGCTTGCATTTGGAGAGGATTTCACGGGTTTCCCAGTGCCAGCCTACTTGGAGTCCATTGGCTCCAAGAAAGAAACTTCTGTTAAAGATTTTTCATACCTTCAGTCCTAGCAGAGCAGTTCATTTTCCAAAACAGTCTTTGCTCTGATGGAAATGGTCGCTCCCTTCACCACCCTCACCCTCTCATACTCGCTTCCACTCTATTAGGAAATTACTGATTTTGAGTCCAGTCTTCTAAATTTACACGTCGGGAGAATGGTCTCAGAGTTTCAAAATGACTTACTCTAGGTCCCCAGGACTTAGGAAAAACAGAAACAGCACCAGAACCTAAGTCTCTGGACCCAGATTGTGTGTTGAACTTAATCCCTGAGGTATTATAATGTTATGGTTAGGGATGTAGGCTCTTAAACCAGACTGGGTTTGATTCTCAAATCTGCTACTTGCTAGTTTTGTAACTTTAGGCAAATTATGCAGCCTTAGTTTCCTGATTTATAAAATGGGCATAGTGCTAATCTAGGTAGATAATATCTCCTAGAATTTAGGTATAAGGTCAATCTTCCAAGTGTAGAGCATTAAACATGTTAATTCACGTAAAGCACTCACACTTGGCTAGAGAGGCAACGCTCAGTAATCTAGCTGTTAAACCAGATCTTAAAAGTCAAAAAAAAAAAAAGTGGATCTCACTGTTGCAACCTTGCACAATGTTGGGCCAGTGTTGGGAATACAGTGAATGTGAGAACAGGCAGAGTCTTGTCCTCACAGGGTTTAGTGTCCACTTGAGGTGAGTATGTGTATGAATGTTGTGTATAACTATATACCAATAACTTTACACTGGAACTAATTTTGAGGTGTGCTTTGAAGCTAAAGAATAGGGTATGTGCTGCCTCAAGGCAGACCTGTCTCTGACTTTGAAATCAGAGTAAGCGACTATGAAGTCACATTTCGCATTCACTAGGACAGAGAGGGAGGCTGGGAATTATTTAAAATCCCGAGGGAGAAAACAGTTGGCCCTCTGGAGAGTGGCTAATGAGCAGGAGGTGGGATGAGGTGCAGCTGGAGGGGGCGGGGAGACCCTACAGCCAAGGTTGTGATCTTTATCCTAAGGGGAAGGGAAGCCATTGAAAGGTTTTAAGCAAGGGAGTAAATGAAACGCAAAAATGGGAGGGATAGTCATTTTGAAATAAATCACTCTAGCTCCTCTGTGGATGGACAGGGTGGAAAAAGACCAGAAGGCCATGTAGTCAAGACAAAAGACTAACTTGGACGAGGGAGGTGGCAGGCGATCAGTGGCCAGATCTAGGAATTAAAACCTATCAGTATATCTGGGACTCCATCTTTTCCTTGTACCTAAAATTGGTCTTTACTAGGCTTGACCTAGTAAAGTCTGACTTAGTTTAGCCACACCTCTGTGATCTTTTTTCAAAATATGCTATAGTAATTACTGTCATGTCCCTTACTAGACAGCTCTTTGATGGCAGGGTTGCCATAGGATGGAACTTTTTTCCATACAGTGTTGAACTGAGAACTATGAATTTATTGGATGCTCGATAAATACATGTAATTATAAAGTCTACATAAGAGTCTCCTGTACTTTTCCTTTCTTAGTACTTATCACAACTGCAATTAAATAGCTGTTCACATAATTACGAGATATTTAACACATCACTAAACTTTAAACTCCAGAAGGACAGGGACCAAATCTGTCTCGGTTACTGTTTTATCCTAATACCCCAGCATTACCTGGTGCTCAATAAGTACTTGTGAAAGAACTCTCTTGTTAATTGTTAAATAAAAGTTTCAAGCAAACATTTATATAGTGCTTATGTGTTTTCAGTATTTTAAACACATTAACATTTAATCCTTACCATTGCATTAGGAATATTTTATCCATGTCTCCATTTCACTAATAAGGGAACTGACGGAGGAACATTAACTTTTTAAGGGAGTCCATTCATTCTAAAGTATTAGTTGGGCTTTGTCTGCGACAGGAGCTGTGCTAGGCACGGGAACTCGACAGTGGTTACTGTCTTTTGAGCACCTACTATGTTGGGCTTGGTGTTAGGAGCTTTACATAATTTTATTTAAATCTCACAATAACCCTGCAAGTAGATATCCTTAATCTCGTTTGATTGTTATGGAAATTACAGGTTAGGCGAGATTCAGTAACTTGACCGACATCGCGAGCTGGAGGGAGGCGGGGTCGGTATTAGCACGCAAACCCAGCCTCCCTTTCCTGGAAAATCCATGGGACTCCGCCCCCTGGCCAGGTCTGGCCCCGCCCACCCCTCCTCTGCGCCTGCGCGTTCCCGCACCCGCCCCCTCCTCGCCGCGGACACGCCACGCACTGCTTCTCCAGGTGGGTTCAGACCGTCCGCGGGCTCCGCTGAGCAGCACCTCGGACGCCCCACCGCGGCCGCAGGGCCCTGCTGCCAGTTCGGTAGCCAGCACCCTGCCCCTGTCCTCCTTTCTCTCTCTCGGTCCTCCCCCCAGCGCACGCTGCCATGGGAAAGAGCCGGACGAGGCGCTTCAGGCGACCTCAGTTCTCCCCTACCGGCGATCGTCCGGCCGAGTTGGCAGCGGCGGAGAACGGGGCCGAGCGAGCGGAGGTCGACGGGCCGGCGGCGGAGCTGCTAGAAAAGGTGAGGCCGGGGC